GTATTATGTTTAGTACACATGGTGTGGGGGGTCACGGGGAGAACAGTGTATCACAGAGAAGGTACATAGTGGATCTCTGGCAACTTGCTACACTGATGAACAGTGACTGCATTGGGGTATAGGCGGAGGCTTGATAATGTGGGTAAATGTTGTAACCACAGTTTTTTCATGTGAAACCTTCATAAGAGTGTATATCAATCATACCTTAATAAAAAAAATTTTAAGTATATAATAGTAGGTTTATTGAGGGAAGTGATTTTATCCACCTGAAAACCCCATAGTGAAAAAACAGATGATTGGATGAAAAGAGATAATATGAACCTTTATCTTCAGGATGTAGTACCTTCTAAGAGGGGAAAACAAATTTAGCAAAAGCATGAAATTTTTTTCTCTGTGAACTAAAGTTCAGTATAAATGCTGAACCACTATTATTTTTTAAAAAGAAAAATGGTTTAGATGCTAATAGTGTTGATTATCTCTGAAATGTATATTGGAATTACTATTTCAAATGACTACTGAAAAAGAAACTTCCAAACTTAGGGGACTATTATTCTCCCAAAATATATAGGAAAGTTAAACCAAATATGACTATGAATAAATCATTCTGTATGAAGCAGATCAGCAAAATAAACTTAATCAGAAGTCTTAGATTTCTCACAAATGAACTACTTAACACTTTTACTGTTTTGACAGTTGTTTTTCTCTCTGTGTGCATTTGAAATGGTGCCAGATCCACCCAAGAATTAACAGGTGTTTTCAAAAATGGCTGATCTTATAAATATAATGGTTACTTTGAGCACCTCTGGTAGTAGTTCTCACACCTACCAAAGTACACAATTTACTGTTCCCAGACCATGAAACTTTGCTGGAGAAAAAAATTTTAACTTGGTGATTTGGCTCAGTTATCCAACAAATTCAAGTTATCCAACTCTAAGAGGCCCTCCAACCTTCATGGTCATACATGTAGCCATCAAATTCTCTGTAAATGTGGTTACAAATCTTTTCATTTTCCTCAACTTCCTGTGCTTATGTTTCCTCATTCTCTTTCTACTTAGTGAGAAAACGAAGATAATCTATTCAATGAGAGTCCTCCATTTTCCTCTCCACATCAACAATCTCTCTTCAATTTTTACTCCTTCTATTTCATTACCGAGAAAATGTACTCTTTTTTCCTGAAGTCACTTCTCTATCTGTACGTGGAATCCTATCCTCTCTTGTCTCTTCTGGAATCTTATCCCATTTGTCCCCTTTCTTTGTTGCATCTTTAGTCTTTCTTATTACTAGCTCTTTCCCTCTGTCTACAAAACTCAGATTGCTTCTTCCTTTAGCTGCCATCCCATCTCTCCTTCCTTTGACCAATATCCTTCTTTGAAGAGTAATCCTCACTTATCTCCTCTTCTTCTTAATCTATTCACCCATTAACTTTTTGTATCTGGATTTTGCTTCTACAGATACACCAAAACTCCTCTTTCACACATCATTCTTGCTTTCTTAATAGTCAAACTCTATTCTCAGGCTTCATCCTCTTTGGCCTTTAGGTCATTTGAGATGGTTCAACACCCTCTTTCACTATTTGGTATTTGTGAAATTAGCTCCTTCCTTCTGTTCCCTTTAAAGTAGATATTTATCAAGGTTCTGGCCTCACCCCTCTCCCATTACCCCTCAGTGTTCTCACATATTCCCAAGCTACAGTGGTAACTTTAAGAGGAATAACTCCCATATCTCTGTCTCTAAGGTGCCCTTTCTCTGAGTCCTTTTTAAGTGCCTGTGGGGCATCTTCCCTTCCGTGCACCTCAAGCACTATTGGATCAAACAGATCTCACAATCTTTCCTTTTCCTAAATCAGCTTCTCCTCCCCCTCACTTCTTGATCCTTTTAATTGGGCTACCAAACTGTCAGTATTTCAAACTGAAAAGCTTAGAGTCATATTTTACTTTTCTCCTTCTTTTAACTCCATATCCAATATAAGTTATCAAATCTTGTCAAAATTACTCCCACAATGACTGTCAGAAAAGACAGTGAGAGATTTGGAGTTAGAAGATTTGAGTAAGTTACACTTATTTAAGCTTTGGTTTCTCATTAGTAAAATGATACTAATAACAATGTTAATTGTAATAATATATTAAATGCCACAAGAAATCCTCCAAATGTGCTATCACCAACCTCTAAACTTCAGAAGGACTTCATCTTCATTTCTCTTGTGGCATCTGTCATACTCTCTACCATGTATTTTACATAGCTATTTGTGGACATATCTTATTTCCTTTCCTGAAAGATACCGTAAGCTCCATTGATTCAAGAACCATGTCTTATTTCCTTTTTTTTTCTATTTGAAGACTCTGCTGTGCCTTCTGAGCCACAGCAGCAGTTTCACATGTGGAAAATTAATGAAACTGATTAATAGCAAATAGATCCTATCTACTGATAGAGCAAAAATATTTCCTTCATTTCTGGGTCAAGTTATATACAAGAATGCATAAATCCTTTGACTCAAAGTGACAATAAATAGAGAACAAGGAAGAGCAGGACCAACCAAAAATAAAAAAGCTAAACAAAGGTAGAACAAATCATGAGAGAAGTAGATTAGATCAGTTTAATTACAGGGAGGAGAAGTAAAAATTAGACAATCTGGGAGGAAAAAGAAGATAAAGTTGCCATTTAGGAGGCTCAGTTTATTATAAATATTGTAATTAAGCCAAAATCTTCTGGAGGAATTTAAAAGAGCAAACAAAAAGTCATATAACTTAGATAAATCAAATTGGAAATATATCTAGACAGGATTTACAAGCTTCTCTGCAAAACCAGACTATTTTTGTTTAGGAAGTATGGGGATTAAAATTTGTTTAATTCCTCAATAATGAAAAGAGTTAAAAGCTTTAAAATGATCATTTCCTTAGCCTTCTGCTGGGTTTAGCCCTTATCTCCCTGATAAATTATTTACTTCTTTATAGTTGAACACAGCCATAATAACAAGCCTTTACAGGGGCAGGCTTCATGTAACAAATATGTTATGTACTTGCACACATACTTCTAATTTCTCTGCCTTTAAAATTACACTGTGGCTGTGGAAAAGGTGGGGGAAGGTGGTACGTAGATGAGTCTATGGGTCCTAATTTACCTACAGAATCAATTGTTCTGAATTTGCAAATATTTCTCCCCCAGATCTGCATTGTTCAGTTTCAGTTCCAACTCTACTGCTTTGTAACCCAATGGTTTGGGGCCAGTTAACAACTCGAGTTTCAGGAAGGTTGGGACTTTTTTTGTTCACTGTTCTCTCTCCAGTTCTTGGTGCAATTATTGGTACATAATAGGCAATGAATAAATATTCATTGAATAAATTACTGAACTTCTCGGTGCTTCTGTTTTCTCACCTTTTTAGGATTAGATGGGATAAAATATGTAAATTGCCTAGCATAGAGTGCATACCCAATAAATATTAATTCTTCCCTTTCCACATGATCTAAAGAACAAAAATATATCCAGAGTCACATATGAATAACTGGCAAAGTGGCTTGGAATTCAAATGATTTGATATTTAAGATCTCTCTGTGAATATATCCTAAGCAAACACAGCAATTCTCACATTATGAGAAAAAACAAGTGCTATCCAGAACTAATTCTGTGAAAGCCAGGGAAAGCGAGTGTAATGTGCATCCCAATGTGTATATTCTCCAGTTAGTGTGCAAAAGGAAGGAAGAGAGAGAGAGGGAGGAAGAAGGGGAAAGTGGAAAGTGATTGGCCAAGTTATAGAAAAAGGCACCTCTCATCTCCCAGAACCACCTCCTGTCTCCCTCCCTTCACACACACAGTTCTTATTTGTTGCTTTAACATTTGATTCTGCAAAAGGAGCAAGTGACTAGTTTACTGTAATCACATTCTCCTTTGATATTTACATAAATATATGAAAGTTCAAGCAAATGTCCAAAACAATCACCTTCCCAACAGAGCCTACATGCTCATAGGTTCACACGTGCACATAGACACAACTAACAGCCTCCCTAAAGAGACATGAGAAAATGATTTTAAAATAAAGAAAGAAGAGGGGAGGCAGATAAAAGCAAAAGAATAGTACAGCTTCCCACCGGTCTAAAGTAATACCAAGTATGTTACCCTAATTTAACCCTTTGCTTTCCACAGCTGAAGCAAATAATTGATTTTATTTTGTGATAGAAGAATTGTTTCCTGCAATAATATGGGAGAAATAAAAAGCAAAGCAAAGCACAGAACTGTTGTTACTATTTTCCGGGGCACACTGTTTCTGTGAAACATTTGTCTTTATAACCGCTTGGAAGAATCTCCTGTTTCAGCTAAGAAGAGCTGTGTGTGTGTGTGTGTGTGTGTGTGTGTGTGTGTGTGTGTGTGTGTGTTTGTGTGTGCTGAGAAAGCTTATTACTGTGGGTAAAAAAAGTTTTCTTAATTTTCTCCTCAAATGAGACAGAGAATGTATCCTAGTTTGTAAAATAGAAGGTTATATATTTTAGTAGAAAATATAATAATGTAATTTTCAAAAGAGCTCATTGTTAGGCACAAAAGTTCATACACCATAGACAACAAAGGTGTGGAAATACTTGAACTTCTGACTTCATTTTCTTCTTCCTAGACCATATCTCAATAGCAAAATCTAAATAAAGACTTCAACCTCTGATGTAACAGCTGATAATTTTTATAAGAAGCCTGTGAAAGAACTTTGTCCCTTTTTTCCTTGGTTCAAAGTGCACAAAAATGTTTTGTAGTACAAGGGTAGAGCCATAGAGATAGAAAGACTTTATATTCCGAGAATTTCCATGCTGGTTGGAACTGTTGCATCTCAGAATCAGAACATATGGGCCCATGGTTGCCTGGATTTAAAGATGACTCTTTTTATACTAATGTTTAGAAATAAACTTTGTAAGTACACCAATCTGATTTTAAGGATCTGGTAACTGACTTATCTTTCTCATTTAAGCTCTCAGCTTCTAAGGAATTATAAATTGGGACACAATTGGTGTGACACAGCTTACCTGTTCAGGATTTTGTACTATGTATCTCCTAACAGTGGTCTGTGGATATGTAGTGACTTTCACTGTTGGAGAATGGAGTTCCTGTGAAAAAAAGATAAAAGCTGCATATAATCATAGTTCATATATAGTGATCTTGGAGCCATCAACAATAATAGGGAGCAATTTTCACAGTGAAAACTTTAAAGTCATTTGCACAAATGATGACATGTGAATTTATGTTTCAGTCAATTTGAGTCTCAAAAACATACATGAAAGCCTATGTTTACGTGCTCAGCACTGTGCTAGGTGTTTATCCTCATTGCTACATTTTATACTCATTTCATGGTAATTCATCACATATTCCAAACTATATTTGATGAGTTTCAAAATACTTGTTTCATTGTAAATGTGCACACATGATTAGAAGAAAGTATAGCTTCATATTTATTAATTACATCTTCTCTTTGGAAAGAACATCCAGTATTTTAAAAAATGGAAGGAGTTGCAAGGAAAAAGTGTGTGTATGTGTGCACTTAAACATTTAAATCTTCACTGTGATGAGAGGCATAAATAATATTAAAAGAGAGACAATACTAGAACAAAGTCATTTGTAAACTTTTGTTGGAAAAAGAGTCAATATCATTAATACAAACAGAGTTTTTATACTGCCCCCAAAAAAGAATCTTCACACTAATAGAAAAATGAACAAGTAATGTGAACATTTATTTTTAGAAAAGAAAATTAATAGACAAAATTATTTACCCAAACTAGGAATCAAACAAACATAACAGAAGAATATCATGTTTTAACTGGAAAATATTTTAAATAATAATGATGATGAGGGTGAAGTAGGAGAAACATTTTCCTATGGAGAGGGGAAAAATTAAACAATCATCCATAGGTTGAAATACTTGGTCATTAAAGTAATAATCTTGAGTAATACAAATTACATAAGATTAAATGGGAAATGAAGTTATAAAATGCATGTATGGTATGATCTCAATTTTTTTTTTGAACTGAAGAAAATACAAAATGCTAAGAGTAATATCTCTGGATGGGGAGGGCATTGTGAGTGATTTTTTTATTTTTCCTCTTTATATCATTTTACAGTTCCTGAATTTTCTATATAAACACATATTTTTATTATCAGAAATAATTCATACAGTAAACACAATTTTAAAGCCCTCCATTATGAAAAATAATACTGCAGTTTTCTGACTGGAGTTGCTTTAGTGAATGGCTTTTTGATTTAAGTGGAGTTACTTTTCTGAGGTAATCTTATCTGGTGATCCTGTAGGGCTCCATTTCTAACTCAACTGTATCTTTATCCCACTGTCTTATATTTTGTTATGTATGTGACCCATGCTAGTCTGTAAACTCTTTGAGAACAATGATTGTCCTAATTGACCTTTGTGCAGTATTTGCTACATAGTTGGCACTCAGCAAAAGTTTGCTGAATCAATGCTTGATTCTAACTGACCTAGCTCTAGGCAAGGCCAAATTGGGAAGTGGTAAGCAAACTTTTCTTTAATAATCTTATTTTTTCTGCATAATATCACCATTTCTTTAATATGTTCAAGGTCTAGAGACCAGTTTTTGTCCATTTGTCCCCTTATTGTCCATGTTCACACCCTGAAACCTCATCTGGACAAGTCAGTTTGCTTAGAACAGCAACTTTCTCCCTACTCCTCCAAATCCCACACTTTATAGTCCTCTCCTATGTAGTATTAAATTTAGGATGTTTCCTATTTTATTTTCTTAGTATTCTTTTTAATATTAAGTACATAATTGTTAATATGGCATTTATTATTATAGATACCTTTTGGAGATAAAATGCCTAGACTCAAGAATAATCTTAAAAGTGGGAATATCAGGTCATAAAGGCTAAGGAAACTAGACCCTTGTATAACTTTCAAATCATGCACCCTTGAGAAGGGCTAGTTCTGACCCTCTAAGTTATTCTCTCTGAATGTAAACTTACAGTACTCTCACTGATAAAGGCAAGTCCTTAATCCAAGATTATGATCACTTTATTTGTGCTCAAATCAAGGACCCTTAAAATATACATAATCACTAGGAGCTCCTTGGCTAAAAATAAACTGCACTCAAACTAAAAACAATCACATTGAGTAGACAATGAAACTGAAAAATCTCAGTTCACAGCACTTGATTCAGTACTTGTTTTACATTCCTTCAATGGACTGAGCTGATTCTCCTATGTGAGAATCCCCTTTCTGGTTTCATGTTCTTGACATTTTATGAATATGTAAAACCTTATGAGGAACTTAGGATTGTTTGAACATATGATAAGGCCTACATTAAAATAAAAGAACCTAATCTAATCCATAACTTATTTTACCTGTTCAGTATTTTGGGTTATTTGTACAGAGCTTGGGGCACAAGTAGATATTTGCAGAGTTGGAGAATGGAGTTCCTGTTGAGAGAAACAGAAGAGGGTCCAAAAATTGTTAGTCACGGTGTCATTTGAATGTCTTATGGTCTTGAGGTACCTTTTCCTTTATTTTTATAATAACCCAATTTGTCGGAAATAAGAATAAATGTTATTTAGTGTTTTCTTAAATGATGTCTGTATCTCCAAAGAGCACATTACCGAAATTCCTTTGTCAGCTTTGCAAGTAACCTAATTTAAGACAATTTCAAGAATGCTTCTGTAACAATACATTCTTCTTGTACTTTTAGATTGCATCTTTTTTTCTTTTTTGAGAAACTCTGATAATATACACCCCAATGTTACTGTCTGCAATTAACAAGATGAAAAATTTATCAAACAACAGCATTAAATGCAAAAACTCTCAGCCCATATAGGAAACTACCTTTGAAAATTCAGTGACTACTGCCCTGAGATTACTTCAGGTTGACTCTTAATTATGCCTTCTCTGATCTGCTTCTAGTTTAATTTCAAAGAATAGGTTCTATGATCCATAAAATCCAAAAAATGATCCAAAAAGGATATGGTTTTTAATAATGATTAAAGTGATCACTTTATTGATTATGCTGGCATTCTTTACATTTTTCCCAAAATCAGCAAGTTTGAATAGCTTTATTAGTGTGCAAAGAGTTAATAGCATTACTATAATTTACAACCAATTGATACAACTCCAGGATATATTCTAACATATCATTTATATTTCTTTCTTTAGAACAAGAAGGCTATTAAAAATCACAAGCACAGACTTACAAGAGAAGCACTGACAGACTCACAGAGAAGAGTAACTATAATGTAGGTGTAACCTGCTGTTCTTAAAACAAGACAGTGTGTTTACTCAACTTGCCAAATGTTCTGCAGCTTTGGTTTTTCTTTTGGTTCAACTTGTAACATTTTCATCCCTCCTCCCTCTGTTACATCAACAGCAACCCTGCAAACTTAATGTTACAAGGCAGCCTTTGAATATGTTCCCAGATTTCCTGCTGGTAGTTAAGGACAACTGCTCAGTCAAATGCAGAGAATTAAAGATTGTAGACCAAACAGGTACATATTCTTCTGTTTAGGGAGATGGATACAAATGCAACCAAGTGCATGGGGGTTTGGCCCACAGATCCAACAGGAGCCAGTTCAGAGAGAAAAGAAAAAAACTGTGCTTGTTAGTTATATGTTAGTACATGAATGCAATGTAAAACAAAAATGTACACAAAGTCAAAGATCTTCCCTTAATCATTTTCCCTCCATCCACATCCCTTACCCAGAAATAACCATTATTGTTAGGTGTATCTTTACATAAATATATATGATAAATAATATTATATATTGTCTTTATTTTTCTGCAATGTAAGCCAAACACTATTGCTTGTAATTTGGATTAGATATGTCTTAATTCATTAGTTTAAAGTAATATGTATTGTTCCATAATGTTTGTTTGATAGCTTCTTTATCTATTTCCCTATTGATCAATGTTTAAATTGTTTCCAGGTTTTCACTATGTTGCATTGAGCATCCTTGTGCAATTCATTTATCTAGAAACCCACAAAGGAGCAGGATTGCTGGGGCACAGATTATGTGCATTATTCATTTTTAATATACTGCCCAATTGATTTCCAAATGGTCATGCCAGTTACACTTCTGCCAGCAGTATGTAAAAGTATTCATGTCTGGAGGATGCTTTCCAGCAACTTTTTAGCCTTTTTAGGCTAGGGCTAGTAATACTAGAGTAATTTTGAGAAGACAATTTGTGCCCACTGCCTGGCACATGGTAGGTGTTTTATGAATGGTAGTTTCTTCCCCCTCTTTTTAACCAATTCAAATTTGATGGCATCAGCAAATTAAACAGAATGGAACTGACTAGCCTAGTGAACTAGCTTTTAAGATAAAAGACTGTACTGTGAAGTTTTATAAACTTGGACAAATTAACCCAAATAGGAATAAACATACATATGTCACATCTTTAGGATATTTATTTATAATGTTTTAGCAGGGTTACTTTATTCATATGCCAAGGTAGTAGATATTTAAAAGAAAAATTGGTGTATTTGTGCAAAGACTAGTCTGATTTTAAAATGAAGAAATTATTCCATCTTCTTATGTGGGAAGCTGGTATATTAATTCTATAGGTCATAATTTACTTAACTGTTTTGAACTTTCATTAAAAAGAAATCATCTAGGCAAATGTAACTTTCCCATACAATCCTCATGAAAACAGAGAACAAATGGAATGACTTAAAAAAGTAAACTATTAAGGCAGTAGCTTAATATGTGTCAAGGAGATTAAGACATAAGATGTTGACCAGTATAAATTTAAAATGTAGCAGTATTAGGCTGATCATAAGGTTCAAAACACCTGAATATAAGGTATATTCATTCCAGAAAGACTTGCTAAAGAAAACGTTTTTCCTTGGAAGTCTACAGAATTAAAACAGCCTGAGTAAATGTCCAAAAAATGAACATGGGAAGGTGCTTTCAGTGACATCTAGCTCTGGGCAGGATTGCAGCCACTCATCCCACAGATAGGATTTTGATGATGATGACAAACACCTTATTAAGAGCTTCTTGCACAAAATACTCTGTATAGATTAGTTTATTTAACACTCAAACCCATGGGGAAGGTGCTCTTATAACCAGATTTTACAAATGAGTAAAGTTAGACAAAGATAGGTTAAGTAACTAGCTAAATATCACACAGTAATACTAAGTTGGAATTCCAACTCAACATCATTCCAGAATTCATACTTTTAATCATTATACTTTGCCACATCTATAGCTTACCTCATCATATTTTCTGTTTTCCAAATTGTGGAACATAATTCTACTGTTAGATCTGACTAGTCCTTATAATAGGAGGCTAGATATTTGTCTTTTTGATTATTTACTATGAAAGTCAACTTTTGGATACCTGAAAATAAAATAACCACCCAAAAGTGACTGTGTGAGAAAAAAAGCCCAGATTAAATCATTTAAACATCTACAAATTCAAGAAGGTTTATTTTTATAGACTGCAATGGTATCTTTACAGAATGTGCTCACAAGCCTCTAAACTTAATAAAATATTGAATTTTTATTTAACATACAAATCATCTAAGCCCTTCAATTTTGTAGGAAGGCCCTACTATCTGATCATATATTCAGCATAGTATTGAATCATTTATTCCTGTGGCTCAGATTTGCTAAATACATAAACATTGCCTTGTTGGCAACTTTCAGTTCTGGTGAAAATAATTTTGTTGATAAGTAAGTGTGTTCAGGCTTAGTATAAAAATCTAGGCCTGCTTTTCCCACACTATTTAAAGTAATGATTTTCAACTTCAGGAAAGTTGTAGCAGCCCTCTTTCTTCTCTTCTTCCTTCTACTCCTCCTCTCCTTTTATGAAGTGCCTGTGACATTACCAACTGGGATAATTTCACTACATCACTTGAGACAATTGTCCTTACACTGATATACACTAAATCAGATCTGGGAAACTCTAGTTGCCCTAGGGAGAATTCACTAATTATAAAACTTCATCTTTCTGTTAAAATAGCTATGTTTTTCAGATTCTAAAAATCTTATGAAATACAAATGGCCCCAATTTCTCAGGCATTTACCTCAGTGAAAGAGCTTTTGAGTAGCTCAGTGCAGTGGAGAAAGAAGGGCAAGCAGAAGGTAGAGAGGAGTTATTCTCCTTTAGATAGAAGGGAAACCTTAAAAACTTAGGACATACTCTGAATTCCAGGATTATTTCAGGGCAAGACCTTGAAAATCAGAACAGAAACCATTTTTGTCCTCTAATATATTTTTGATATTTTCCATTCTGATAATAGAATGGTAGACTCTGGAAAATCTCACAGTAGGGGTAATCAACAAGTGATTTGCTGAAACAAAGAAATATAAACTTGTTTAAATTGAAAATACTTTTGTATCTTACTAAGTTTAGGAGAGATAGCTGATATGGTAGAGATACCAAAAGCTGGTTTATAAACCCAAGACATGCATTAATTAGCTGTTTTAACTTGATTTCTTCATTTGTACAGCAGACAAATAAATACACAATGCATATTTTTAAATGTACACTGCACAACTTATACAATGGATATGATAATACTTTTACTACTTCAAACTTGGAATTCTGGTGAGTAAATAATAAATGTCAGAGAATTTTGGAAACTAAAATATGCCGTCTATTAATATGAGGCATTATTTTTTACTGGATTGGTTACATGTATAACTAAGTTATTCAATATTTGTTATGTAATAATATTGAAAGATATATAAAATATAGAATATAGTCTTTACCCTCACCAAGCTCATAATCACTTATGGGGTGAACACGATTATTGTAAATAACAACAGAATATTATATGAGCTATAGGGAATTTACTGTGGGAGTTTTGAGACATAAGAAATAACATCAGCCTGGGATAATTTCAGATTTCACCACAAGGTTATACTTGAGGAAGATCTTGAAAAATTTTATGTAAATTCAGCATATCTAAATTGGTGAGGATGGGGCATAGGGACATTTTGGGTATAAGAGCAATATGAGCAAAGACACACTTCTGGGAAATTGGAGGCTCTATTTAGAGAACAAGAGTTCACATTTTGGCTGAAAAAAAAAGAACACTAGAAGGAAGTTCCTGGAAGTAAGTTCCCTAGGACGCAGATCATGGAGGGCTTTGAAAGTTAGACTAAGAAATTTATAGACACTGAGTGTCATTGAAGGTGTTTTGGGCAGAAGAGTGACATGAACTGTTTGTTGGGTATTTAAGCAACTTTTCTAAGGAACATATTCTTAGATGTAATTAGGTTTGTGAAGACTTTTAAGTAATTTTATGCAGAAACCTAAGCATCCAAGCTGAAGTCTCTGTTAGAGGAGAAATGGGTAAATACTATGTTTGAGGATAAAAATCTTTTCTTCTAGAGTTCTAAATGTATTTTGGTGTGTGCATGAATACTGAATAGTAGCAGTTTTTATGAGGGAATAAGGATGCGTAACTGATATGCTAAAC